GGAAGGGGGGGTGGGGGAGCTGCATCACAGCTTTGAAAAAAAGGTAGCAAGAACTAAACAAGAAGCTGGAGCAGGAGAGTCAGGATGCCCTCGGTGGCCCTCTGCCTGGACCTCTGCAGGGGCAGGGAAGAGCCACTCGACGCACTAGGGGACTTACCAGTAGGTTTTGCTCAGATACTGAAAATAGTACATGTAGCAGCCCGTGGAGGGGTCTTGCGCGTACAGAGCCTCCCGCTTCTTGGCGTCAGTGATCTCGATGAGGTCCCCGTGGTATTCCACCACAAACTCGCCCCGGGAGAACTGCTTGGTGGCGATCACGCCCCTGCCTTTGCCGTCAATGAGGTCAATCTGTTGGGTGGTGCCAAGAGGGAGGGTTGGTTCATAACAGCAACAAACGCCACAGTGCAGGGCTGGCTTCCAGGGGGTGGGAGGCTTGCACCGCGTTCTTTGAACAGCTTTACTGCGGCAGGCCATAAAATTCACTCATTTCACATGTACAGTTTGATGGGTATTAGTCAACATATACAGTTGTGCAACTATCGCCACAATCCATCACCCCAGAGTTCCCTTGTGCCCATCTGCAGAGCCTTGTTAGGCCAGATCCTGAGAGATCTGCTAGGTGGGTGCTGCCCCATTTTGCAGGTGAGAAAACGGGATTAAGAGAGGCAGAGTCATGTCCACGGCCACAAAGCTAGGAAGCTGTGTAGCACAGACTCAAATCCACATCCTGGCCTCTGCGGGGGAGTAGTAGGACCCAGTGTTCAGAGTCTCTCCTTTATCCCATAATTAACCCTCCTGGGTTTCTCCTCACTCCATTTTAAATGGAGATGGAGGGTGATTACTTGAGGGGTCCAGACTTAAATTCAGATCCCCCTAGGGCAGCGGTCCCCATCCTTTTTGGCACCAGGGACCGGTTTCGTGGAAGAGAATTTTTCCATGGATGGGGGTGGGGATGTTCAGGAAGTGATGTGAGCATTGGGTAGCGGGGATGCGGCTTCACCCGCCCACCCGCTGCTCACCTCCTGCTGTGCGGCCCAGCTCCTAACAGGCCGGGGACCGGTATTGGTCATGTAGCCCAGGGGTTGGGGGCCCCTGCCCCAGGGGATTCCCTGGCGGTCCAGTGATTAGGACTCTGAGCTTCCAATGCACGGGGTACAGGTTCGATCCCTGGTCAGGGAACTAAGATCCCGCAAGCCGTGCAGTGTGGGCAAAAAAAAAAAAAAAAATTTCAGATCCCCCTCAATGGTGGGTGGAAACTGAGGCTTTCCAACCCCTGGGTCCTAGTCCAGGGCCATCTGGCCACCACTATGGAGACTTGCTCCCCTCTCATCCACCCAGTGTGTCTGAAATATACGAAGAGAAAAGCAAATCTCCTGGGCATTGCCATTTCCCAGGAAAACAGTCTAGAAAAATTTGATCACTTTGTCCTTTTAAAAGTTTCCCTAAGCATCACGCTAAATGAAAGAAGCCAGATAAAACAGGCTACACATTCTATGATTCCATTTGTATGAAGTGTGCAGAATAGGCAAACCCATAGAGACAGCAAGCAGACTGGTAGCTGTCACGGGCTGAGGGCAGGGAACGCGAGTGAGTGCAGATGGGTTCGGGGTTTCCGTTTGGGAGGATGAAAAAGTTCTGGAACTACACAGAGATGATGATCGCACAACTGTGACTGTAGGATGTACTTAACTGTACACTTAAAAATGGTTACAATGGTAAATTTTATGTTGCATGTGTTTCATCATAATTTTTAAAAAGTTTCCTCAGGGTAACATCTCACGTTTCCTTCGTGAGGCATTCCCTTTAAGGATACCTTTAGCATTAGGTCCCTCGACAACCTGTAACAGCCCACCTGGTCACAGGGACCATCGGGCGTTAAAGCAACGCAGCTCCTACGTCAGCCTCTGCACCGGGGAAGGTGCGACTTCACAGCCTTAACCTCCACGCAGTGGCCCTGCAGCCCCGTACCTTCATTCCTTCTTCTTTCCCACTTTCAATCAATTCGTCTATTCTTTTCCTTTCTTCAGACTGGGTGGGGAGGAAAGAAAAAATGAGACGTGCATCAGCGTTCTCTCCGAGGCCATTCCAGGGGCCCCGGCCGCCTGCAGGTCACTTGCAGTTGGCCTCCAGGGCATTGGTCCCGAAGGATGCCCAGGCCCCCAAGCCCCCATCCTTTCTTCATTGCCTATCTGAGGCGGACCATTCGCCACCTGGGGTTTAAAGAGGCCAAGAGGGAGACAGTGGTGGCCCCAAGGGCAGAATTGGGCTTGTGGCTATGTTCTGTTTGGCCCACGCAGACTTTTAGAAAATATCGAAATTGCTGACATTTAAAAATCAGGACTCTGACCTCATACGACACCAGCCAGGGCTGTTCAGAGGCTGCGCCCTTCAGAAGGGGTGCGTGTGCCCACAGCCTGTTCACTGTGGAACCTTCTGGCCTAGAACAGTACCTGGCACATAGTAAGCCCTCAAAGCAACAACGGCCCCCCATCACCCCACATGCACACACACAGCTACCTTGTTAAATGATGAATCAGTTACAAGTGTGCAGAAATAAATGGGAGTAATCGTGGGAGAACTGAGATAGGCGACGGGGGACTTTCCTGCTGTGACAGCACAAGGCAGAGGAGACAAGCTGAGGAGAGCTGGGGCCGTGGAGGCCCTGAATGCACGGCCCTGAGTTTCACTCTGGAGGCTTGGGGGTTTGGGGCATGTGAGCAACCAGCTCTGAGCGTCCTAAAGAGGATTCTGGCAGCGGCCCACGGGGGACCCAGGGCCGGAGTGGGCGGGAAGGGAGCAAGGTGTTGTCTGCGGAGCTCTTTGTCTGTCTCACCCCTGCTGCCCTCACCCAGCCCCGGACCTCGGTTTCGGCCGGCCCCGGAGGGCAGGCAGGTCAGGCCTGACCTCACCCCTGAGACGAGGCCCAGCTGCCCCGCCCTCAGGCTTCACCTCTGCAGTCAAGAGACTCGCCCTGGCAGCCGGAGCCCCAGCAGCCCAGCCAACAGCTGCCTCGCCGTCCTGGCCAGCGACCACCTGGCCGCGGTGCGTGCGCGGCAGAGCCAACACAAACGGCAGCGGGCACAGCGTGTCTCTCCCTCGCCACTGGCTCTGCGTCCAGGGACAGCGTGAGCTTTACTGTGCCGCCTGCTGCTTGCCGCCCGCCTGCTGCAGGGTCCGGCAGACCTGCGGCACACCCTACTGCAGCCTCCACTGCCCCAACAGAGAGCCCCCGTTGTTGTTGTTTTTAATTAAAAAGGCCAACTCAGCTGCCCCCTCCCCCAACCCCGCCCCACAGCCCAGAGCGGCGCCTGGTGGAGCCCCAGGCTCCCTGTGTGGGCGCGGCGGCTCTGAGCGGGGCTGGGCAGCATCCCGGGTTCTGGGGGCTGGCACTGCCTCGCCCTCTGCAGTGCTGTCTCTACGATGACCTCACACCGCCTCCCGCTGCAGGCAAACAGCTTGCAACAGCTTGTTCTTGGCTGAAAGACACTGCCTTTCTAAGGAAATAAAGCCAAAGCTTCTCTCTAGGGGGAAAGATGGACCTCCCCCCCTTTTTAAAGGAAGTCCTGCCAGTTCAGAGGTGGGGGGGCGGAGAGAGGCTAGATCATCATCTGTACAGCCACAGCTCTCACATCAAAAGGCTGAAGGGGGTCTGTTCCGGTTGAAAGGCCAGGGCCCCCCACCTCCCTTGTGGGGGGCAATCCTGAGCGCTACTCCCAAGCCTGCAGGTTATTCTGTTGCCCCTGGGGTGGGAGGGTGGACAGAAGCAGCCAGGGCCTGCAGGGCCCGGCCACACCCTAGGTTTCCCTAACAGAAAGGCAATAACCACACCTCACTGCATCAAATATTGATCGACTGTGCACAGCTCAGCACTCTGCAAACACGGCAGGCAGGGGCCTCACAGCCCAGTCGGCCTTCCTGCCTGTTTTTCACACGTTCTAAAGGACAGTGGCTGGGTGGGAAAGAGCAGAGAGGGGCCCGGGAAGGGACAACACGGGGGAAGCAACAGTGACAATAGTTTACAGGTGCTCAGTGCATACCAGGCACGGTTCTAAGTGTTCTACGTGCATTAACTTAAAAACGCAGCCCTCCCAACAACCGCACACGGTACTACTTTATTATCCCATTTTACAGACAGGACAGAGAGGCACAGAGCGGTTAAGTAACTTGCCCGACGTCATACAACCAGGAAGTGGTTCCCAAGCCACTGCTCTTCACCACCTCAAGACATGAAACTTCTGGACAGCAGAAAAACAAGCCTCCCAAGAGCATGCAGCCTTCATGGTCCTAGGCTCCAATGGCCCTGCCAAAGCCACTTTCATGGTAAGTCCTGACTTTCCAGGCCACATGCTACAGGCGACAAGGCTCCTTCACAGAGGCATCGTAACTAAGCTTCATGGTGACCCAGAGCGTTATGACGACCCCCACTAGACCAAGGAGAATATCGAGGCCATGGAGGCCAAGAGACTTGTCCCAAGATGATACAAAGCAAGCTCAGGCTGTGCACGGCAAGCACTGCCCACTGGGATGCCCTGCCCCTTCCGAGAGCTGGAATCAAAACCACGTGACTCTACCTGCAGCTCAGCTTTGCTCTTCCTGGAGCTCCTTCGAACAGGGTAGAAATCTGTGAGCTTACGATTCTGCTGCGTTTTTCCTTGAGCTCTGGGGTGAGACAGGAAGAGGAGCAAACAAGTATTAGCACCGAGACCGCATTCACGTCCAGGAGGCACACAACCCCTGAGCAGCAGGCTCCTTGGAAGCCATGTGACTTCATCACCTCTGTCCACCGTGGCCCAGGGCCACTCAGGCTCACCTGCCCACGGGGGCCTCAGAGAGAGTGTCAAAGTCAGGCTGCCTACTCTCGGTGGGGAGCGGGCTCCTGAGCTCTGGACCCGTGACAGACCAAGATGCTGACAAACAGTGGTGTCCCCAGTGGTGACTCAGGAATCTGAGCCTTGACGGCTCAAGGGGCTGAGAGGGCGGGCGGCCTCACCCCTGCCGGCACTGGGCAGGCTGCCCTGTGTTAGGGGTGGCCTCCAGGGGGCACTTACTTTTTCCTGGGAGCCTGTTTGGCCCTAACGGGCTTTTTCAGGGCTTGCTTGGCAGCAGCTGCATTGGGAGAATCACAAGACGAGGTCGGGGTTTTGGGAGGTTCTGTTGCTTCAGATTTTTGGTTTGGAAAAGGGGCCAGGGGACCTCTCCTGGCGTCTTTGATCTTCTGTTCCTCAGCCTTCATGGAGCTTCGTATTGCATTCCCAGAGTTTCTCTTCTCTGTGGGCAGAGGGTGGGGAGAGACAGGCTGACTCTGGACCCACCGGCTCCCACTTTCCAGCCCTCAGCCGCATGCTAAGACAGGCTTGGAGAGAAGAGAGGGATGGGGCGTGTTGGGCAGCCGTGCCCTTGGGCTGTTAAGCCTGGTGTCTACTAACCAGTATCTTGGGCAAAGCGTCTGGCTTTACTTTTTGACCCAGACACTGGGTGCAGCTTTTGGTCTTCTGCATCTTTTTTATCTTTTTCTAGCTTTGTTGAGGTATAATTGATAAAGACAATTATAAGATATTTGAAGTGTTATACCACAATGAGTCAACATGTACATTGTGAGTGGATCCCTCTCATCTAATTAATCAACACATTGGGGCTTCTGCATCTTGAGGGAAA